TATTCCCTACAATCTGTGTGCTTTGTGGCCTAAGGAGACAGTCAAATACTGTCCAGCTGATTAGGAGAGTGCCCACAGCTAGGTTTTTTGTACTGGTGGTTTTTATTTCCCTTTTTATAGATAGGCACTATATTTGCCCTTTTCCAGTCTTTTGGAATCTCTCCTGTCTCCCATGATTTTCGAAAGATGATAGCTAAAGGCTCAGATACCTCCTCTATCAGTTCCTTGAGTATTCTAGGATGCATTTCATCAGGCCCTGGTGACTTATAGACATCTAACTTTTCTAAGTGATTTTTAACTTGTTCTTTTTTTTTATTTTATCTTCTAAACCTACCCCCTTCCCACTAGCATTCACTATCAGGCATTCCTTCATCAGACTTCTCAGTGAAGACTGAAACAAAGAAATCATTAAGCATCTCTGCCATTTCCAAGTTTCCTGTTACTGTTTCCCCCTCGTCACTGAGCAATGGGCCTGCCCTATCCTTGGTCTTCCTCTTGCTTCTAATATATTTATAGAATGTCTTCTTGTTTCCCTTTATGCCTATAGCTAGTTTGAGCTCGTTTTGTGCCTTTGCCTTTCTAATCTTGCCCCTGCATTCCTGTATTGTTTGCCTATATTCATCCTTTGTAATTTGTCATTGCTTCCATTTTTTATATTACTCCTTTTTTATTTTTAGAGCATGCAAGATCTCCCGATTGATCCAAGCTGGTCTTTTGCCATATTTTCTATTTTTCCTACACAGCGGAATAGCTTGCTTTTGGGCCCTTAACAATATCCCTTTGAAAAACTGCCAGCTCTCTTCAGTTGTTTTTCCCCTCAGTCTTGCTTCCCATGGGACCTTACCTACCACCTCTCTGAGCTTACCAAAATCTGCCCTCCTGAAATCCATTGTCTCTAATTTGCCATTCTCCCTTCTACAATACCTTAGAATCATGAACTCTATGATTTCATGATCACTTTCACCCAAGCTGCCTTTCAAATTCTCAACTAGTTCCTCCCTATTTGTTAAAATCAAGTCTAGAACAGCTTCCCCCCAGTAGCTTTTTCAACCTTCTGAAAAAAAAAAAAAAGTTGTCTTCAATGCAATACAAGAACTTATTGGATAGACTGTGCCCTGCTGTGTTAGTTTTCTAACATATCTGGGTAGTTGAAGTCCCCCATCATCACGAAATCCTGCACTTTGGATGATTTTGTTAGTTGTTTAAAAAAAGCCTCATCCACCTCTTCCACCTGGGTAGGTGGCCTGTAGTAGACCCCTATCATGACATCACCCTTGTTTTTTCACCCCTTTTAGTCTAACCCAAAGACTCTCAATATGTCTGTCTCCTATGTCCATCTCCACTTCAGTGTAAGTGTGTACATTTTTAATATATAAGGCAACACCTCCTCCCTTTTTCCCCACCTATCCTTCCTGCGTAAGCTGTACCCTTCTATACCAATATTCCAATCAAGTGTATTATCCCACCAAGTCTCTGTGATGCTAACGATGTCATAGTTGTATTTTTTTATTAGCACTTCCAGTTCTTCCTGCTTACTACCCATACTTCTTGCATTTGTATATAGGCATCTAAGATACTGATTTGATCTTGCCTTCCAACTCTGCCTTGTCCCTCCTTTCTCTGTGCTATTATAGCCCACACTCCCTCCCATTTCCAAACCATCTCCCAGGTCTCCATGTTCTTCACTTGGGGAGAAAGGTGCATATTGATGACTTAATCAGGGAACCAGAAGAACTTCTCCTATGGAGTTCTGACCCAAGGCCCTCCTACAACAGTAATTCACAGAGTCTGTTCTTGTAGGACACACACAGTTTTCAGTACAGGCCTGTCAACAGTGAAGATGTAGTCTCGTGTATGGGTTATGCCAGCTGACTCAGGCTAAGATGTTTCACTGTCTTGTAGACTCAGGCTGACCCTGCTGGGTGGGAAGGTCCTGGGCTCATCAGCCCAAGTCAGATAGCATGGACCAGGCACAGGTTTTTCTTCCTGTGCAGAGATATCCTTAACATTTGGAATGAATCTGAATGATAGATCTGGGAGCAGGGGGAGGGAGCTCATGTTTACAGCCCTTATGTGCACACTTCAGCACCAGTATTGGGTTTTTCCGAGCACCCAACAGGAAACCAGAAAACAAATTTGAGACCCTGAAGTTTTAACTGGCTTCCAGAGACATTTTGTCCCCCACTATGTGGGGGAGAGGGGAGGAAGACACCTGGAGGTTCTCAAGCCTGGTCTGTTCTCTCTCCACTTGTATATTACAAGATTTTAAAGGGGGTAAAACCAGCCACTGTGAAATCCCCCTGACATAAGGGTGTTCCCTGGATGGCACTGAGCTACTGAAGAAGCTCTACATTGTCCCCATTGCAGCTGTGGGGAACGTATTGTAAAGGCTGCAAACTGGCATGAACTGCTAATTTTTGTCTCCAGAACAGCACTTCAAAATGGCTGTTGTAGCCAGGCACAGGTTAAAGCAGACTCAGTACTTCAAGCTGCCCTTACTCCTGTTTTTGCTTCCTGTAACAAGAGTAGCTTGGATAGAATGGCAAATAAGCACTGAGGATACAATTATATATGGATATGTAAAACTGAGTGTCTTGCAAAACAAAACAAATCAGAAGAGCCTTTCATCTTAAAGCAGGGAAAATTATCTTCTACACTAATATCTATGGTTCTATGAAAGGTAGTCACTCTCCAGTCGTTTTAATATGGGTAATAAAGTCTATTTGGGAGATTAACTTTGCTAACAGCATCATGCACTTGCAAATACATACTAGCTAAAGAAATCAAGTTTTCAGTGTGGTACACATTAAGTTGCAAAGAAGAGTCCTTTGCTATGCAATTGACTGAGAAAAGAACAAATTCTATGCCTATCAGGATGCTTTACTAGCTAGAGAGAAGGTAGAGAACAGTCAGAAGGAAGGACAGAATAGATGACAAATAAATGGACAGAATTAGTTCACCTAATTCTAGTTCATCCTGGTGGGATTTAAGATCAGTTGTCAGAGAGTCAAGGAAGGAATCAATCTGTTTTTTTAATGAAGGTTGTTACATGCTGTTTGTTTTTCAACTTGTAGAAGTTAGATAACATGCTATATTTTACTTCTTGGACTAATCACTTCATTTTTTCCCCCTGCACATTAAAATGGTTAGGAAGATGAAAAGTATACTACAGTCACATAGAAAGTACTATAGTAAATATGCCCATTTTTCACATAATATCTAACATAGCTGTCTGTAATGTGGAGGTAAACACAAGAATTTTACTTGAGCCCTGCAGTGGGACTGATTACACAGGTCCCACAGGACACACTGCCATAATAGTGTGAGTGGGATACAAAAAAAAAAAAAAAAAAAAAAAAAAAAAATCAAACTACGTGGAAGTGGGTGGGAGAAGGTATTAAGGGGTGGGATGGATTTAAAAAAATAGTCCCTCACAGGGCTTTAATCTGTATGACAACACTGACACAAGTTATAGCCTTGCACAGAAACATTTAATTCCTACTAACCTTTAATCGTGTCACAAAGTGCTTAGCAACAGTAAGTTCTGAAGCTGGGTTCCCAAGAAGAATCTCAAAACGATATTGCAGACCTAATTTGTCTCTCACTTCTTGTAACCTCTCTCTTGCCAGCATTGCTAATTGCACGGACGGGACTCGAATGATAAGCATGTGGCCACAACCACTCTTATTCTTTCCTGGTGAAGTGATGAGGTCATCCATTATGCTGAGTGTCTCTGGGGTGCTGTGGTCTCTAAGGGAGGCCATGGTTGTGAGAGCCATCAGGGCTTCAGAATATTGTTGAATAAGAAGGTAGCAGCGAATCACCATGCTGTGCAGCCTGGGATACCTTCAGAGAAACACAGTTATTATGCTGGTTAGTAAATATGTTCAATAAAATCATCACATGAACATCAGCTCTGACATAAGCAGACCAAGGTGGCAAGGAAAAGGAGCTCATTTATGTACAGTACATAAATGTAGAAGTCCTCAACTTCTACTAACAATTATGAGCTGTAAGTGCATCATGTTATTTATTTAGGCATACACGGCATGTACAGCTATAGAAAAAGGTACAATGTAACTCAGACACTGTTAATATCAGTACAAAACACATATAGCACAGGTGATCATTCAGTCTCACTTAATACTCTAAGGTTCTTTTGTTTTTTAACTTGCATCATCATTGGAAAGTTTTGTGAAAGAAGGATGTTTTAAGGGGGGATATAAATGTACAGCATGCACGCACCCCATTCATGTCAAAACCAGAATTACTGATGTGCTAGTGCAGGAGCACACTTTGATAGATATCAGCCACCAGCAAACAAACAGTTTGGTTTTCAAGCAAGACAGTAACAGTCTTTTTTCTCATATTGGAGCTAAATGCAGGGACTATAAGTCCAAACAAGAAGGACCAAATGCTAAGAAAAAGTGAGAACCAACTGAACTTAGAGAAAGCCATTTTATTTCTAGTCATTGTAACAATCGCCTACTCTATTCAATAAATATGTAAATATAATAGGAATAAAAGTTGGTTTGAACAATAATAAATGACAATATATACAGACAGCATGCTGCACTGATAAGAACAGCAGTGATAAAAATGTTAGTAGTGCCTTAGTTTCTATACTTGGCTTCTCTCATCTATATGTAACACCTCATCCAGCTTTGGCTCTGTGGAACTGGATTGCTTTTTTGTCCATAAAGGGATATGGAGATATTGCTAGTTTGTCAGGTCCTCATCAGCAAACACCAAATAGTCTGCTCTGTGACATATGAAATTCTCAGTTCATTTGTTAGTGTACTTTGTCCACATCTGGCTAACTCGTTGTCACACTCTGCAGTGAAACCACAGCATAGAAACTGAATTATCCTCTCAGCCTTCTAGATCAAGACTAAGGCAAAATGTTAAAGCTGAATAAGCAAGCCTGGACCACCATTACCTGGACAAGCAGAGGACTTCAGTTTACAAGGCTTTCAATCTGGCATCTTACATCATTAAATTCATTACAAAATAAAAAATAGAACAAACTCCTGGCACTCCAGTACCAGGCTTCCAAATTCCAAAAGCATCATGCTTATGCTTAAATATGTTTAAATAACTGGTGCATTTTTGGAACCCTGTCATGAAATGTCAAAAAAGTTGTAACATCTACATTTAGTTTCTTCCAGGTTATGCACATGTAAGAGTGGTGAGACAATGCAAACTGTAAACAGGATCCATTACTGTCACTTCCTAGAGAATAACACTAGATACACTAGATAAAAATTGAAGAATACAAAGAAAATATCTGTGTGAACTTTGATCAGATTCCATTTATGACAAAGTGACTGAATGCCAACTATAAGTAGTATATATTCAGGACCAAATTTTCAAAACTGGCCATTTAAATTGCACTCACATTTGCACCTGTAAATTTTTGAGGCAAGAGGTGAAGTAAGGCATCCAGTTTTTAATAGGTGGCTCGTAAAAGATATCCCATTAACAAATCAAAGTGTTTGTTCAGAATGCTACCTAACCATTTCTTAATACTCATTTACACTGTGACATTGTCTCTTGGCCCATTTGTGATAGGCATGTAACCTTGGATCATGGTAAAGCACAATTCAAAACTCTACCTTTCTAAGAGTGTGTTCACCATTTTTTCAAAGTTTTCATCACATCTCAGCAGAGGACTCATGATTCCCCACTGAAGAGATTGGCTGTATTCATTCAAGCCAAAATACAGTTTCTCCTCACTGCTCATTTCTTCCTGTTCCAAACAAAGAGATCACAAACAGAATGAAAGTTAGACAATTTGCATTTCCCCTGTATTATGAAACTAAGTATTTTTCATGGGAAATATATCTGACTGGTACTCTTCCCAGTAATTACTTCTTCCAGTGAAAAAAAATGTTAAATACGTACTGATAATTAAACATTAATTAAATGTGTTAAATATACTACATTTACCACTTCCTCTCCCCTCCCATCCCCATCTATAAGGCTTGTTACCCTGTCAAAGAAAGCTATCAAGTTGGTTTAACACAATTTGCTCTTGACAAAGCCATGCTGATTTTTACTTATCACCTTATTCTCATCTAGATCTTTGCAAATTGATTCCTTAATTGTTTGCTCCGTTATCTTTCCTGGTACAGAAGTTACAATGACTGGTATGTATTTCCCTGGGTTGTCCTCATTTCCCTAAAGGCTCAGGTGTCTCTTCAATCAGCTCCTCCAATATTCTAGGATGCTTTTCATCAGGCTCTGGTGACTTGAAGACATCTTGTCTGAGTCATTTTACTTGTTCTTCCCCTATTTTAGTTTCTGATCCTACCCCATTATTACTAGCATTCACTCTGTTAGGCATCCAGTTGCCACCAACCTTCTTGATGAAAACCAAAACAAGTCACTCACTTTGCCATTTCCACTTCTTCTGTTGTTGTTGTTTTTCCCTCTTCACTGACTAATGGGCCTACCATGTCTTTGGTCTTCCTTTTGCTTCTAAGGCAGTGGTCTCCAAACTTTTTAACCACAAGATCACTTTTTCAATTTAAGTGCAATGTAAGATCTACCTCAAACGCAAGTACCCTTGCCCCGCTTCAGATGAGAGTGAACAACACTGTGTGTTTGTGAGAATGACAGACACAACCCAGGCTAAATCTAGACTGCAGGCTTCTTTCCGAAGAAGCTTTTTCAGAAAAGATCTTCCGAAAGAGAGTATCCACACTGCCTAAGTACATCGAAAAAGTGATCTGCTTTTTTGAAAGATAGCATCCATTCAGTGTGGATGCTATCTCACATTTAAGCTGTGATTACTATGGATGGAGTGGCCTCCAGGGCACCTGTGCTTTTTCCTCTTTCCTCTTCTTTTGAAAGAAAACCCTCTTCCCCATCCACACAAGCCTTCTTCCGAAAGAGGTCTTTCGCAAAAAGGCTTCTTCCTCGTAGAAATGGAGGAAATTACCAATGTCAGAAAACCCCCTCTTTTTTCAATTTTCTTTCGAAAGAACGCAATTGCAAGTGTGGACATAATTGAAGTTTTTTCGGAAAAATGGCCGTAGTGTAGATATACCCCCCAGCGTGTGAGAGTGACAGAGATTTGTATTGCCAACCTCCCTCCATCCCATTTTCTCGGTGTGGGGATAAGGTACACAAGTGGGGGGGAGGGACACCCTGAGATCAACGCCCCCTCTACCTCCCACACCCTGCACAGCAAGCAGGAGGCTCCTGGGGGGCAACTGCAAGGCAGAAGGCAGAAGCAGAAGGACAGTGGGTGGAGGGGCAACTGAAGTGCCAGCACTTGATAGCTTCTCAGCCAAACCAGTCAGGATCACCTGTCAGAGGCTCCAAGATCTACAGGTAGAGCCCGATCTACTAGTTGGTGACCACTGCTCTAAGGTATTCATGGGCTAGTACCATCATGACTATAGACTGATTACGGGCAAAATCAGTTTCCTTTAAACTTTATCATTGGCCTGCTAGTGGTCACTCAGCTCCCATAACGAACGACTTGTCTTCACATATAGTGCTGCAGATGCTAGTGTGTTAGTGAAAATGCTAGTATCCCAGTGAGGAAGCATCTCCAGTCAGCATAGTTAATCCATCTCCCCAAGAGGTGATAGCAATATTGAGGCTCTCTCATTGATATATCATGTCTACACTGGAAGTTAGGTCAGTTTTCTGACCCCCTAAGTGATATAGTTATACCAATATAGGTCTGTAGTGTAGACCTGGCCTAGAAATAAATATTCTGTTAGCCTTTTTACACCTAAAATAAATTCAAGATGTTCAACAAATTTTAAATTCTGAGTTTGCTTATCAGGGCAAAGGAGAATGTGCTGTTCCTAAGTCTAAATATCAAAGTGGCTTTGGTCTCCAATGGCCCCAGGAGAAAAAGGCTGAGATTCCACTATAACCTTAGGTGTAAACAAATCTCAGTGAGGAAAAGAGATTTTTGCCAAAGGTTTCTGTTTATACACCTGGGTTATGCACTCTAGAACGTGGGGAATGTAAGGCATCGTATAACTCTTAATTTGACAGTTACACACTTACCATACTGTCAAATTGTATCCAGTGTACCTCGTTGTTAGAGTTTATTCTGGACTGCTGTGGCTGCAGAGGACAAGGAGATTGAAAGCTTCAGTAACTTCTCTGCAGTTAATAACTCTATCTGCCAGTCCATGACTGGGCTCCCCATGTGATAGAGAACTTGAGATGGCACTGTGGGAATAAAAACACACAGAATGGCTTCATTGCTGCATTCAGATTTAGCTGGTAACATTAATATCTCCAGATGAACAGGGAACCAAAAGCCCTAAGTCATCAGGCTCTCTGAAAAAGAACAAGAAGAAAAACCAGCAAGGTGATGTGCATCGAAAACTGCTGGAGAAATAATGGAGCAAAGTCCTCCATTGAGAAGCAACTAAATCAGCCTGCCAATGTAAAGAATCAGAGTATAGGAAAGTTAAAAAGAAGCTAAAAAAGAAAAGGAAGTGTCTCAGCTGGATTAGTCTGTTACATGAATGGGGATGGAGCAGGGATGCAGGGACAAAAATGAACCAGATTGCTCAATCAGGAGCAATTCTTATATAGTGGATTTTGAGGGCACATTTTTTTTTCATTTCCTGTCTTCACCTGATGGCAGACAGACATAACTCCCAGCACAGCAGGGAGACCCAAGGATCCCCCGCCTCTGCGGCTTTGCTCCTGTCTCCCTGCTGTGCGGGGACCTACCCGGCAGCGCCCCAGCTGTTCTGTCCCAGGAGTCCAGATTCAGCCGCTGTTGAAACTGATCAGCGGCTGATTCCAGGAAGCCGGGGGCAGAGCAACTCTGCCTAGGGCTTCCTGTAGTCAGCCGCTGATCAGTTTCAGCAGCGGCTGAATCTGTAGCCAGTTCCGACTTACATACAAATTCAACTTAAGAACAAACCTATAGTCCCTATCTTGTACGTAACCCGGGAACTGCCTGTACTGCTGACTCCGGACTGCATGTGGGTGCCAGCTTTAAAAATTTACAAGAGTCCCTAGCAGGGGCTCATGTGCATTTCAAAATGGCAGCACAGCATGGAGCCCCGGGTCAGCGGGGGACTCAGTCTCCCGCTGACTCCAGGCTCCATGCCGCGCTGCTGATTTGAAATGCCATGCGGAACTGAGGTCAGCTGGGGACTCCACAGCTGATCCTGGGTTCTGCACAGCATTTCAGCTGAACCTGGAATCAGCTGGTGACTCCAATTGACTATAGCTTCATGCAGCATTTCCCCAGCTGATCCTGGGTTCCGCGGAAATGCCACACTACAGCCTGGGATCATCAGGGGAGTCCGCAGCTGACCCCGAGCTCCACTGCCGCACAGCTGATCCCCGGCTCAGCTGTGCGGCGCTGTCCCTTTCAAATGCCGAGGTTACATTTCAAAGGGGCAGCACCGCATAGCTGAGCTAGAGATCAGCTGTGTGACACTGCCCCTTTGAAGTGGCCCCTCTTCCCCCCCTTAGCTGCCTCTACCTGATGGGGGGCGGGGAGGAACAACTAGTCAACTGACTATCCAATAAGCATTTGCTAGTCCTTAACATCCCTAGTTATGGAATGAACATGACTGATGTCTCGAAGAACACCAGTTACGGAACAGATAACTAAGTGTCTTCTTCAAATGATTGTTCATGTCCATTCCACATTAGGTGACTCCAAATAGCCACCCACAGAAGAGGGTTGGAGTTAACGGCCTCACTGATTGCATCAAAGCTCTGCCAAACACATCATCATCTCTGGACTGCTGAGTGAAAATACAGCGAGATGTAAACGTGTGCACCAAGGATCACCTTGAAGCTCTACAGATGTCCTGAACAGGTACATGCACCAGAAAGGCTGCCATAGACACCGGAGCTCTGGTTGAATTGGCCTGGACAATCTGGGGTGGAGGGATCTTTTCCTGCTCAAAGCAGGTCCTTATGCAAGAGGTGACCCAGTTGGAAAGCTGCTGTGTGGAAACTAGCAGGCCTTTTGTTCTATCGGCCACAGCAAAAAAGAGCTGCATTGACCTACAGAAGTCTTAGTACATTCCAGGTCCTTGCTAGGGACTCAAAAGTCTGAAGTTGACCCCAACTTGAATATTAAATTGCATCTGAATTATAGTTTTAATAAATACCTAGGCTACACAAAGATTATGACTCCTGTTTATGAATCTTTAAAGAGAAAACAGGCTCCCAGATCATAATTTTGATTAAAAATCATGAATATACAATAGAAAATTGTTTTTCTTCGTTATGTGAAACACTTACCTAGTTAAATCGATGTGTGCGTTGTCGTGAACCAGCACAAACAGAGTGTATGGATTCTGCTTCACTCGTCTCATAAAAACTTCAAACTTAGTTTGGATTTCATTGTCTAGCCGTACTACATATTTCTCAGCTTTCTGATAGGCTGTTCCGTTTTCCTCTAGGCCCAAGTCAACAAGAACACCTTCCAAAAAGAAAGAAAAAATTCCGTTGCCATTATCCACAAATAAGGCCTTGTGTATACCACTGGGTCTTGTCAGTGAAAGGCAGCTTTTATTGACAGAACACTATACACTGCAACGCTACTTTTGCCAATAAAAATCTCCTATTTTCAGAAAATAAAATAACCTCAACAAGAGGCAGAGTGCTTTTTGTGGCAAAATAATATCAACAAAACATCAGTGTAGATACTGCACTTGGTTTTGTCACTACAAATGGCCTCTAGGAGATGCCCTAGAATGCCCATCCCAACCAGTCTGGTCAGCAGTTCAAATTCCATTGCCCTGAAGCCAGATAAACAAGCATCCACACCTCTCCCTTTAAAGGCCCAGACCTTTTTGAAATTCCACTTCCTGTTTGCTGTGTGTGGAGCTCTCACATCACATCTTCGCAGCTGACTATGGCAGTTTCACATAGCAAAGTCTCTCTCCCCTTTGAACCACTGAAGAGCCGTTGGATCTGCTGAGTATATGGGGAGAGGAGGCTGTTCAGTCCCAGTTCTGCTCCAGCCATAGGAATTTGTATACCTGCAGGCAGATTTTCTCTGAGTTTTCTGAGAAGGCTAAGGATGTGGCACAGTGCAGACCAAAAATACAGGAGCTGAGGCAGGCATACCACAACGCGAGACACAAACCGTTGCTCTGGCGGTGTGTCCAAGAACTGCCACTTCTATCGGAGCTGGATACCATCCTCAGTGATGATCCCACTTCCACCACCAAAGATACTTCAGAGGGGCTGAAAGTAGCAGGCAGCAGACCTAACCCCAAGGACAAAGTCATGGATGAGGAATTGGGAGAGTGTTGTGGAGCCCACCCAAGGCAGTTGTCACAGCAAGACAGAAAATCTTTTAATCTCTAGAGAGGTCTAGCCTGGCCCAGCACTCCATCTCCAGTGAGGATGATGCAGCAGAGGAGATCCCTGCCAACTGATCTTTTTTTGAGTTCATGCTGCTTGCTTATATGACATACAGCTGTCCTTTTCTCTGCATACTGTAGAAGCGTGTGAAGGGATACCATCAAGGACTGCTTATACAATATGCTTCATATATGCAGAATGACCATGGATTGTGTGTTTGGCAGATTAAAAGTGTGCGGTTGATGCTTTTACAGCAGGTGAGATCTAAAAGTGGAAAACATTCCCATGGTCATAGTAGCCTGTTGCAAGCGCCATAATTTCTTGTGAAGCTAAAGGTGAAAAGTTTAATCAGGGATGGAATGCTGACACAGACTGGCTGCTCAAAACCAGCAGCCAGGCATATAGCAGGGGTACAGGAGGGGCACAACAGAAAGCTTTGATCCAAAATTTTGATAATGAGCTCCGGTAATTTGTATTTCAGTACAGTACTGTGCCATGCTTCATTCATTTTTGTTAGTTTATTTTGCTTATAATTGGTTTTGATAGCTGAGTGGGATTTGTAATAAGCAAATTATTAAAATTTATGTATGTTTTACTACCAGCAGCAATCACTATTTGTAGGACTCAAAGATAGGTTATCTTTCAGAGAGTTTTTTTTAATAAGAACCAATTATCACACAAAATGTTTGGTGGGAAGGGTTAGGGAGGTACTAGTACTGGACAGGGGAGGCTGTCGTAGCTGTGCGTAAGTCCAGCTATCATTTTGGAAGCTGTCTGGTACCAAGACACTCCAGGAAGTTGCAAACAATGTGTAGGGGGAATTTGGGGAGGGCATGAAAAACAGTTCTGAAATGGCTGTGGAGGTGGGTAAGCACACATTTGTTTTGCCTGGAGTATATTAGGGGACTTTAATGTCTGTATTTGCACCTCCATCATTCGCTCCTGAGCCTTTAGAATATGCTCCTCACTATCCTTCCTGTCCCACCTTTTTATTTCTCTTAACTCCTTGAGCTCTCTTTTTTCTGACTCAGAGGACTGGAACACCTCTTGGAACATGTCCACCTTGGTCGCTACCTCATGTAGTGGAGGCACTCCGCTGGTGTGTAGGGGGTTGCCCTGAAGGCCACATCTGCAGAAGCACAAGAAACAATTCACAGAAGCATAATTGTTGATTCAATGCTGTGCATGAGCTATTGTAGCAAAATACAATTCTAACACACCAATCACTTTCTCTCTGTCTTTTTTCATGCAGACTTATCAGTAAACACCCTAAACATGGTCATCCCAGGTGAAGGGTGGGCATTAAAGATGGGGCAAAGGGTCATGTTTTCATGTATTCAGTGAAGGCAACTGAGAACAATATAGTAAATTCTACCACCACTGTCCATAGGTGGAGGTCACTGAAGCCAATCTCTCTCCTGAGCATAAGTAAGGATGAAAGGGTGCATCTGCTGCACAAATGCAGTCTCAGACCTGGTCCCTATGCTGCTTGCCTCGTTCCCTGTGCACGTGATTGCTGAGTGCCTCCAGGAAAGTTTCTTAGAGATTTCTCTGAAGGATTCCCATGAAATCTCAGTGTGTATTAACATGCTGTTCAGTCACATTACTTAGCTGCAAAGGGAATGTGGAGCACAATTAATCACTGGTCTTGCACATTTCTATTCCTTCACCCACTTCTACAGTATACAGAGCAAAGGACAGCTGTACATCATATAAACCAGCAGCATGAATTTAAAAGATCACGTACGAGGGATCTCCTCTCCTGCATCATCCTCACTGGAGATGGAGTTCCTGAGACAGGCTAGACCTTTCCAGAGTGGAAAAGACTTCCTGACTCACCACGACACAGCACGACTCTTTTGTGGGCTCCACAACAGCCTCCAACTTCATCTATTTATCAACAACATTGCCCCCAAGGTTAGGTCCATTGTCTGCCACCCGCAGCTCCTCCAAAGCGTGCTTGGTGGTAGAGGCGAGATCATTGCTGAGGATGGCGTGCAGGTCCTGATAGAAGTGGCACTTCTTGGACACAGTACCAGAGCAATGGTTTGCCTCTCTTGCATTCTGGTATACCTGCCTCAGCTCCTTTATCTTTGCTCTGCACTGCACCATGTTCATAGCTTCTCTCACAAAACCCACAGGAAATCTGCCTGCAAGTATACAAGTTCCTACAGCTGGAGCAGAGCTAGGACTAAACAGTCCCTCTCCCCATACACTCAGCAGATCCAACAGCTTTGCAGTGATCAAGAGGGAGAAAGCATTTGCTGTGTGCAGCCGTCATGGTCAGCTGGGAAGATGTGATGTGAACGCTCCACACCAAGCAAACAGGAAGTGAAATTTCAAAAAGGTCTGGGTCTTTAAATGGGGAGGGCAGATGCTTGTTTACCTGGCCAAAGAGCAGCAAAGTGTGAACTGCTGACCAAAGTGGTTGGGATGGGAATTGTGGGTCTGGAGGCCATTTACAGTGACCAAGTACAGTGGCTACACTGGTACTTTGTTAGTATGATTTTGCTACAAAATTGCTCTATGCCTCTCATTGAGGCCATATAATTTTGTCAGCAAAACAGGAGTTTTATTGGCAAAAGTAGCATTATAATGTGTACATCTCTACTGTTCCTTCAATAAAAGCTGCCTTTTGTCAACAACACTCTGTAGTATAGACAAGGCATAAGTGGGATAGATTTACTTTCACTGTGGTGAGTGAAAGTTATTTCCTCCTGCTAAATTTCCTCCAAGGGGATGGATTTATGAGCACTCCAGAGACTCATAACTTTACTAGAAAAAATCATTTAGATCTCTGTAATTTAACAGAGTCAATATGGCCCTGAGTCAGGTTAGACTCAGTGACACAAAGTTAAGTTTCTCTGTATTTAGTTAATGCTTTCTTCCTACTGGACGGACACCTGAGAAAAGATACTTGGGCATCCCCTTCAAAAATTCATAAGCTTACAATGCCTCTTGCTTTCTATTCCCTGAGGCAAAACTAAAATTGCTAGCATATTCCTCCCTCTTACTTTAGTAGGCAGGAAGTACAGTAGCAGCTTTCCTGGCTCAATTAAAGCTGTTTTGGGAATTACATTCAACCTATGCATAAAGAATAGCTGAGAAAGAACCTTTGCTTAGGGCACAGGAGCAACAAAACAATAAACAGTGTTAGACTGACTAAATAACAGAAGGAGAAAATAATAATGCCATTATATAAATCAGTGAGGCACCCTCTTTTCAATTGTTGTTAAATTATTGTCACTATCTCAAAAATAACACCAAAACAGAAAAAGAAGGGATGCAAAGATGGACAATCAAATGTATTAGATGTATGGGAGGCTTTCTGTATCAGGAGAAACTGAAAAAGACTCGGACCCCCATTTTAATTTTTATGGGGAAAATAAAGGAGAAGCCTTGATTCCAGGAACACTCAATGTAGTTCCACATGTCAATCTCATACACCAACTAGGGAAATGTGCTCTAGATGAAATTCTGGGTGCACAAGTAGTTAAAAAACACACACTCAGATTTGCAGTCAAACCAGGAGGACGTATATAGAGGGATCACACAGAGGTCTCTACTGCGTCTGGTACTAATCAATATTTTAATTAATTATCTGGATAATGGACTGGAGGGTGTGCTTATATATTTTAGAGATGACATCAAGTTAGAAGATATTGCTAGAATAGTGTTTCTTAAACTTTTTAAGACCATGGAACACCAAACAATTTTTTTTTATGTGGAACATCTAGGGTGTTTTTTGTTGAGCAAAAAAAGAGCCAGGGAGTAACTGAAATGCTGTTGTGGCCCCTTTAATTGCCACGTGTCCCTACCGAGCTTCCATCAGGCGCCGGGAAAAGTAGAAAAGACACAAAAACCAAAGTAGTATAAAAAACAAACGAGGTCGTGGTACACCTGCGAGTTGCTCACGGAATACTAGTGTTCCATGGAACACAGTTTAAGAAACACTGTGCTAGAGCATTTTGGAGGACAGGATTAGAATTCAAAATTACCTTGTTAAATTGGAGAACTGGTCTGAAATCAACAAGATTAATTTCAACAAACAAATGCCAAGTATTACTCTCAATGAAGGAAAAAATCAAATGGACAACAAAACAGGAAATAATTGATTAGGCTGTAGCACTGTAGAAAAGTATCTGGAGGTTATAATATATTACACATTTAACAGGAGCCAATAACATAATGCAGTGGCAAAAAAAAAAAAAGCAAAATATTCTAGCTTCACACATTACTCGGCACAGGTGAGGTCTCAGCTATTGTGTCTTGTTTGGGGCACCACACACTAAGAAATATATGGTTATATTGAAAAGAATCCAGAGGAGAGCAACAAAAAAGATAAAAGGTTTAGAAAACTTGACTTGTGAGGAAAGTTTTAAAAAACTAGACATGTATAGTCCTAAGAAAAGAAGCCTAGGAAAAGGGAGAGGCAACAATTTGAAAACAATCCTCAGATAAGTCAAGGACTGTTAAAAACAGGACTATGATCAATTGTTCTCCATGTCCACTGAAGATAGGACAAAAAGTAATTTGCTTAATCGTAGCAGGGGAGATTTAGGTTAGAGGCATTAACCAACTCTCTATATGGACAGTTAAGTACCGGCCTAAGTTTCCAAGGGAGATTGTAAAATCCCCATCACTAATTTAAATTTTGTTAGGAAATATTTTTATAGTCATGACTTTTTTCTGATGAAAACCAATTATAATTATTTAAAACCCAGCATAATCTGGTGTAAAAAGTAATGCATGCAGCTAATCTAAATTGCAGGATTGTTTATGCAAAATTTAGTATCTGTAGGTAATTGCAAAGTATGACTTTATTTTGTACAAACAAATCCACAAACTCTTCAAAATATATAGCTTAGTCCTTTACATAAATAGTCCATAATCATCTACTATATATTTGAGAGAGTTTGCCTATGTGTGTGTCTATCTGTTCAAGAACTCCTCCTGAACAGTAAGATCTAGGACCACCAAATTCACTATCCAGCTTCCTCTTATCACAACTTAAGCAAGGTCAGGGTTTGGTTGTGCCAGGGAAATGGGATGTGCCTTGAATGGGATTGTTTCTCATAAAACCAAACAGAAAAGAGACAGAATCACCAGGCAGGTGAAAGGGGCTGACTGGGGGGTACCCCACCATCCAGGACTGCCCCTGCCCTAAGCCTCCCACCCCCCAGTTCTGCTTTGTGGGGAGTGGGGGTTGAAGCTCCACTCCCCAATTCACACTGGAAAGTTGCTGGCTGTTCATCTTCCTCAGGGAGCATTCCTCAGTCTGGCTGGGAAGTGCAGGAGGCAGATGAACTTGGATCTTCCCCAGCCAGGGGACATGCACTCATCTCCCTATTGTACCTGCTGGAGCTGCAGTAGCTATGAAGAGGCACCTCTCACCTGGCCCCAAGCTGCTGCCGTGAGAGAGGGCTGGGGTTGTTCTCTCCCCCCAGGGCAGCCTGCACACTGAATCCCTCATCTCCAGCCTTACCTCAGAGCAATGATTTAAATGAAGTAAAGCAAAAATTAATTCAGTTATGGACCCAAGCAATACTTGGTAACTCTTCTGATATGAAATATGACAATTTTAAAAAAAGGATACAAACTGTTATACTTCAGACCCAACCACTAACTGTTAGGGAAAGGAAGAAGGGTCCTCAATAAGCAGGTCATTTCATTAATTGTCCACTAAAGGTTTCTTGTACATTCCACAGAAATATAGGCTATTGGCAATAGCCAGCCATAGGACACTGGACAAGACAAGACCAATGTTTGACATATGGCATGCCTGTGTTCTTACGAATAAATCACACCCAAAATCCAATAAACTATTGTGAGGGCAAAACGAAAAGCCATTCGTTCATCCTTGTTATCTTGTTTCAACTGCTAGATGTTACCTCAGATCATAGCTCATCTAATCTTCAGGTAAATATGGCAATGCCTTCAGAATGCGGAGTTTTTTTGAACTTACAAGTGACACTAAATAACTCAACAAAGCTAGGACCTCCAGAATACATTTTGAAACGTTTTATTTTAGCACAATATTACAGAATAGATACACACCCAGATTTTATTTAATATACTACTTTCCTCCCCATCTCTTTACCTGATTGTCGAATCCGTTGAAGGGTTTGCTGGACAAGGACCTCTGAACGAGGGACTATAATGATGAAGTCCACTTTGCTGAAGTGGCCCAAATCCAGGCTTTGATTGCCACTGTCTGCTATGGCACATACCTGGGACAAAAGCTTTCTGGCAACTGTAAGCTGTGGCTGATAAATTTGGAAGGTGTCAATATCCAAATCTAGTTAAAAAAAAGGCATTGCGATTTAAATTATTTTATATTAAATAACAGCCTTCTGAACTCTGGTTTACATAATCAACAATCATCAACAGAATAAGTCCTAAATTTATGGTGAAACTGGTGCATGTCACCACCACAGAATCTACTTTTCAGGTCAAAATTTGGCTACAAACAAGATGCTGTCTTCAGTATAGTGGCCATTTTTTTTCAGCACATGAAGTGTTTTGAAGCTTACAAGACTGCAACCCAATGAAACCTCAGTGACTATGTAGCAAACTGCAACCATCAAGGGAACAGATGCATATGCAGTTCTAATCTTCTCTTGCCACATACAGTTCTTTGAACCTGTGGACACATCAGCCATGGACTGCCGACACTGCTGTGCTCAATCACCAATGAATGACACTGACACCTACGACTCTGCTGTAACAACACTGAAATGCTTCTCACTTACTGGGTGGCAAGCCAATTGGTGAGAACTTACCTGTAGAGTTGAACCATTGGAGTTTCTACTAGGGATGTTAAAAAGCAGGGCTCAAAAAATGTGTAATCATTTACACTAGGGATGTTAGCATATAGAAGTTTAAACAATTAAACGATATGGGCTTATTGGTTAATCCCCATGACTACATGCACTTCCCCTAGTCCTCCATTGCTGCCTCTGTATCCAAGACAGCATGAGGGGCAGAGGCAGGACCTGGTGCCTGTGATGAGCTGGCTTTAAAGCAGGATCCTCGCACACACGCCAGTTCCTGTGGAGCCACCTATCCTCTTCTCCTCCTCCACCCCACCGGCCGAGGCAGCAGCATGGAGGGTGAGGGGTCAGGCTGGAGTTGGTAGACACGGGAAGCCAGTTACCTAGCCAGCTCCCCATGAGTCTTGATCCTGTGGAGCCACCTACTACCCCACTTGCTGCCTCCTACAGACACAGCAGGGTGAGGCAGGCAAGAGCTGGTGCTCGGACGGGGGAGCTGGATTCCCAAGAGCACCAGCTCCATGGACCCACCTGTATCATAAGCAGCAGCTAGGGGGGATGGGTGGGGAGCGAGGATGCCGGAGCAGCCTCTATCCACGGAGAGCTCAGGGTCCCCAGTGGACAGGGACTGCTGCTGTCCCATGTTACTACCTCTGTATCAGAGGCAGCTGTGCAGGGCAGCAGGCAGGAGCCAGTCCATGCAGGAAAGAGAGATTAATAGTGGGATCCCCTACAGATCTATATTGGGACCAGTGCTGTTCAATAAATTCAGAAATAATCCGGAGAAGGGGGTGAAAAGTGAGATGGCAAATTTTGCCAACAATACAAAATTATTCAAGACAGTTAAGTCTTGAATAAGCTGACTGCAAAGTGTTAAAAAATGTTCTAAAAAAACCTGAGTGTCTGGGGGGTGAAAAAAAGTGTATGAAATTCAATGTTGATAAGTGAAAATAATACACATTGGAAAATAAAAGCCCAGCTGTCCATATAAAATGAAGGGTTCTAAATTAAGTGTCACTACTCAAGTAAGACCTTGGAGTTGTCATGGATAGCTCTCTAAGAACATCTGTTCAGTGTGTGATGACAGACACAAAAGCTAACAGACTATTTGAACACATTAGGAAAAGGATATGTAGTAAGACAGAAAATATTATATGGCCACTGTATAAATCCATGGTATGCCACACCTTGAATACTGCATGCAGTTTTGGTTATCCCATCTCAAAAAACATACAGGCAGTCCCCGGGTTACGTACAAGATAGGGACTGTAGGTTTGTTCTTAAGTTGAATTTGTATGTAAGTCGGAACTGGCTCCAGATTCAGCCGCTGCTGAAACTGATCAGCAGCTGACTACAGGAAGCCCTAGGCAAAGTTGCTCTGCCCCCGGCTTCCTGGAATCAGCCGCTGATCAGTTTCAACAGCGGCTGAATCTGGACTCCTGGGACAGAACAGCTGGGGCACTGCCGGGTAGGTCCCCACAGGACCAACCCGGCAGCACCCCAGCTGCTCTACCCCAGGCGTCCTGCAACAAAAGCCTGCTCCTTTGCCCCGGAGCAAAGCCACACAGGCGGCGGGGGCCCCCGCCTCTGCGGCTTTGCTCCTGTCTCCCCCCCAGCACACCAGGGAGACCTGGAGCAGCTTTTCTCGCCCCGGAGGACGAGAAGAAGCAATAGATTCTGAAAGACTGAGCCCTTAGAGTTGAATCTCTAGGGACTGGTTGAGAGATTTGTCCATGTGCCAACCAGATCCTCCTCTGTTGCAAGGGGAAGAGAAAAGTGGGAGCCATTCCCATGCCTGTGGGCAGTTACCCTCTGAGAGCTCCCCTGAGGGCCACCAACTGAAGGAGAAGAGGAGAGTAAACATCAGTCAGTGTGGTTCCCTACCTTTTAAATCTCAGTATGTAGTTAGCTAATTATGTCTAACGGTTCTGAGTTTATTTTCAATTTTGAAATTGTATTATTTTAAATTATAAATTGAGGGCCAATTTTCTTCTCTTAGTGTTATTACCTTTTATAAATTAATGGGGGAAGCACAATTGAGGCAAAGCCAAGAAAAAAAAAAACACCACACCAGTAATATCCTGACAGGCCAAGAAAACGCCCACCTTGCCTCTTTGTCTGGGGGAGAGACCACACTTTGAGGGCCCGTATCTTACTGATCACTTAATTCATCAAGCCACCCCTTACATGGTATTCCAAATAGGTTACTCCTTTTGTAATCATCTTACATTTTGCTGGCTTGGTCATAAGTTCTGTCTCATGTAAGGCTTTTAACACCGTTCTTAAATGCTGTAAGTAGTTTTCCCAGATAGATTGTAGGAGACAATATCATCAACGTAGGCCACCACATATTGATGGTGATATTTGGGGATCTTATTCATAAACAACTGGAAGGTGGAAGCTGAAAAGTATGGTCTTAATATTGGAAATGCCACAAATGGGTAGAGGAAAGAGTTTGCTCTTGCAAGGAAGGGGATAAGGTGATCTGACAGGAATCTTATTGATAGTGTTTAGGTGCTTTGCTGGTCCTAGCCATTCTAGTAACTCATCCTCCATTGACACTGAATTTTGTGATGCACTGACCTTCCTGAAGTTGATTCAGAACAAAACCATACCGTCTGATTTGGAAACAAGAACTATGGGGCTCTTCCATTTACATTTGGATTCTATAATCACCGAGGGTATGTCTACACTACCCCGCTAGTTCGAACTAGCGGGGTAATGTAGGCATACCGCACTTGCAAATGAAGCCCGGGATTTGAATTTACCGGGCTTCATTTGCATAAGCGGGGAGCCGCCATTTTTAAATCCCCGCTTGTTCGAACCCCGTGCAGCGCGGCTACACGGGACACGAAC